ATGAGGAGAGATTGTGAACAGAAAAATAGATAAAGATAGAAAGAAGTGTGATATAGAATAGAAAAACACGAGTATCTATAAGAACAAAACCGGCATTATATAGAAACAACACATTTTAAAAATAAAAAATAATAAAAACGTGATGGCAATGTGTTTCTTTCCTTGTGTATATTGTTTTTTGAGGAATCCTTTTATCATGTGATTGATTATAAAAAAGGGTCAAGAATGTGAAAACTGAAATATTAAACTGCTAAAATAAGAATTTGCTCTTTCTATTAAGGAATTGTGTGTTTACCTTAATTAAAAAGTTAAAAATTTAAATAACAAATATGGGCATTGGGTCTAGTGGTATGATTCTTGCTTTGGGTGTGAGATGTCCCGAGTTCGATTCTCGGAATGCCCTAATTTGTAGCAACTAATATTTTCGGGCAGTTTTGGGCAACTCAGGCTTCGGGCAAAATTTGAGTTTTCGGGCTTATTTTCGGGTCGGGCAATTCGGGCGGGTCGAGCAGTTCGAGCATGGTCGGGAAATTTAAAAAAATTCCGGCGGACGGCAGTATAGGGCGGTTAGACGGCGGCGGGCAAGAGAGTCAGTGTCAAATTCGGGCTGCCCGAGCCCGAACCCGAAAATCTAGCTTGGGCGGGCGGGAGATGGGCTTGCCCGCCCGAGCCCGAAAAAATTCGGGCTTCGGGCATCCCGCCGACCTGAACTTCCAGCACTAATCCAAATACGTTAAAAATTTTGACCTTTTAATACACTTTTTGTTAATAGTATCTGGTTACGGAAAATTTAAATAGAATATTTTGGTGAGGTTTTATTTATTTTTTACTGTGAACTTATAAAAAAAATTATTTCAATTAGAATTAAAATAAAAAATTATAGTATTTTTAAGAATATAAAAAATACTATTTATTAACTTGAGTTGAAGGAGAAATTTAAACTCAAATTTTAATTTCAAATTTATGTTTAAACTCAAATTTTACAAAAGAATATGAACTTAAATAAAGTTGTAAATTGAATTCAAATTTTTTTTTGAGTTTAGGTGCAAATAAATAAGCTCTAAATATTTTAAAAACGAGAATGATAAAAGTGATTTTTGTTAAAAAAATCTTTAAAAGTTATTTTCATATTTTTCTTTCTATTTTGGAATCTTTTTTAGTACGTCAACATATCAATAAATGAAGTTTTTTATTCGTTAAGTCTCTATAAAATCACATAAAAATTAAAATATGTACATATCTAACGATTAAAAAAATTTAACTTACTGATACACCAGACGTATCAAAAAATCTCTCTTCTATATTTTAAAATTGTAACTGAATACACATCTTTAGAAGCACGTCCAAGCATAGTTTTACTTTTTTCTTATATCTAAAATAATATTTTAGAAAAATAATTAAACACAATTTCAAAAATAGTAGTATCAGCATTATTCACAAACATTTTATCACATACACTAAAGAACAAGCATAGTTTACTGTACATAGTACAGGGTAATATCAGTTTTGCCGGTTGAATTTGAATTGTTTGTCCCTTTCTTACCCTTTCTTCTCCTTTTCCTGTGTAGGAGCCTCTATAGTCTGATTGTACACTTTAGTCCTCAGTTTTTTTTATTTCTTTATTTATTCTTATATTTACTAATTTATATCAATTATTAATAAAAATTACATTAATTATTTTGAATACGTATCTTAACAAGTTTTTATTATTTTGAGTCTGAACAGAGGTAATAGACTCACTTAAAAAACACCCAAGAACCAAGTAATATAATTACTTCTAAATTCTTTAATTTACACCAAATATAATCAGATTTTCAACTTTCATAATTATTATTATTTTTTTAATTTTGTATTTTACAATTAAGAAGAACAAAAGAAAAAAAAAAGAAACAAAAACTATAATACATTATAAGAAAATTTTAACTAAAATATTATATAGATATATCTATATGTATATACAAACTAATAAAAATTTTAATTTTTTGTATAATACATTAATATTTTTTGCAGCAACACACGGGCTATAAAATTTTTTTAACTTTTTGTATAATATAATGTAGCAACACTGACTAGTTTATTTCTATTTTCACACTCAATATCATTTTTTATAACACCACCAAATGAGCATACTTCAAGTTCACAAAAACCAGAAGGACAAGTGTGCCTATATTCGTGTTTGTTTGTCTCTAATCTGGGCTGTTTCCTAAAGGGTTGCGAACGAGATTCATAGCTCGTCCACTAAGCAGAACAAAGAGTGGCAAGAAAAGCTTCCCATCGTTGTGCTCAAAGCAGAAGAAATCACAACGCAGAAGAAATCATGTACTTTAAAGCCAATTCTGAGGTTCTTCCTATACTTTCTGTAAAAGCAACTCCTAATCTATTTATCAACTTCTACCGCTGGATCTGGATAATAGTTTTTATAAAGAACAGTTTACCATATACCATGATCTATTGTAGATTATTTTAACAATCTAAAAACAACCGTTAACATCAATGCCAAATGGATCTAGAATATAATAAAGAAACATCATGTTCTGAAGCTTAAAAAATGCACGTGATATATACATTTGCTATTAAGATGCTGCATACATTTGTATGTTTTCTTAAGTACTAACTGATGTGTGTTTTGTTTCTCTACAGTTATGCTGCATACAAGATCGTGCAATTGCTATTTACACACACTGGCTCCCTATAACAATGAAAATGTTAGTAAAGCTAATATCAAACTTCAGCTATGCATCTGTACAAATCACGGCCAGAATTGCAAAACGGCATCCAAAAAAGGCTACCATGGGACCAAACGACGATCAGCCACATTGCTCAGAAATGAAAAATGACATCCAAACAAGGGAAAGCCACTCAAAACGACAAGCATCACCAGTTGCAAGAACAAACATCAACAGGCATGTCCAGAAGCAATGGAAGCTTAATAATTAGTATGGCGAAGGCCTTACTGTGTTTGATCCGGTAGAGGATAACGGTTGATCTGCTCCGACAACGGCCACACGCGACTGTGTTAGACGTCGTTGTGGATAGGGATACTGGCACTGATAACAGAACCCTCTGTTCCAGTAAGCACGCCTTGGAGGTCGGAGACGGTGTTTGGCGCTACATCAACTCAAGATCACAGCAAATGAAAGACGCCGGTCCACTCGCGTGGGATCGATTTCTCCCGTGTTGAGTCTTTGAGGGAGATCGTCGACAACCGAATCTCTGAGATGGGTTTGAATGGGATGTAGCTGCCTGCCCACGACTTCGTTCACCGGTTGATTTGAGGAGAAACTCAAGGCTTTTTGCAGAGTGGAAGCTTTCTTGTGAGAGAAGAAGCAGACCAACGAGAAGGAAAAAAGACCAACGGGAAGAAAAGGGGATGCAGCTGCCTGGATTTTGTTCACCGGGGATGGGTATTTGACCGAAGAATATGGACTGTTGCCAGGAACCCAAGAATGAACGTTGGTTAATTTGAGGGGAATTTGTTGGCTTTTTGCAGAGTGAAAGCTTTCTCATGAGAGAGGAAGCAGGGCAACGTGAAGAAAAGAAGACCAACGGGAAGAAAAATGTCAGAAAAAGGAATCCACACTGTATATATTAACTCGAGTACTTGGAGTTCAAGGAGAGAGTGATGTTCACCTACTCGAATTATTACTCAAATTTTAAATTTGAGTTCTTGTTCCCGAACGCAAATTTCAGCCCAAATTTTAATTAGAGTTGGGCCTACTCAAGTTTAGTATACCAGCACCTTAGGGGCCCGTTTAGTTCGCTGATTCGAGTTTTTAATTTGAGTTGAGATGTGACTTTACGTGAGAGCTTTTTACTGTAGTAAAAAAGTTAGATGTGATTGTTTGTGAGAGCTTTTTATTGTAAAAAAACTCAAAATTTAAACTCGAATCAGCGAAATGAACGGGGCCTAGGTCTTTCTCTCTTTTCATTGCTCAAAGTGGTGGGGCATAGCTGAGTCATGCTTCTTCTGCGAATCTGATGCCTTGGGATTCTCTGTGAAATGACACTCTTTTTTCTTTCTTTATTTTTTTTATAATCAATTGTCACTCCTTTTGACTCCGTCTATACGTGACTTTCCTCGCTTATCCAAGATCTTTAGCCACGAGATGAATTGTTATTAGTATTTGTTTTTTGTGAAAAAAAAATGACTTGTTTTAATTGGTCCTGGCTATGTATATAAGCATTCTAAATTATTTTAAGATTTATTTTCAAAGAAAAAGCATCATTATAAGATTTAAGCATTGTAACGGTTTTGGAACAACATATCAATGTTAAGACTCTCTAAAAATAACATTATTGGAAAGTAATTTTTTTCCCTTAAAACTAATTATTTTTCAATTCATTTCCAAATAACACTATTTTTAGGTTCTCAATGGCAACCCGCGCCTTATCGAAGCCGGGATCGATTTCAAGACTGTTCCTTTAGGATGCTACTTTCACGACTAACGATCGTCTCCATGAGGCAGTGCATGAGCTAGAAGCCATTGGGGCACCTATTAATGACAGGCTTTCCCCTGAAAAAGGAGAGAGGATCCTCCCTGATTCAGTCAACTGGGTCCACCTTTAGAGAGGTGACTTTTCACCAGCCCCAATCATGTTCCTTTGCCCCGCCGAAGTTTCAGCGAGTTGGGCGGATTAGGTGCACGAGGAACTTAGAGACAGTGATCTATGGGAAAGACTCGCCGCATCAGGCGTGCTCCCATTCCTCATAGCCTCGACAAATTTTCACCTTTACCGAGATGTAATCGGCTTACGATATGTTGTGCGGAGATGGACTAAATCCTCTCATTCCTTCATTGCTGGTATGAGAGAATTTACCATAAATCTCGTGGACGTACGCCGTATATTTCAATTACCAATCGAGGCTGACATTGAGATCCTCACTTCTAGCCCCGAGGACCAAGATGACAGGTTAATGCTCGGAGACCTGGGGAATGCTTTGAAAAAATGTAGACGCAGTCATTACTGACCTAATCCGGCCAGTTGGACGCGCTTCTTCTATGGCTCGATGGAGGGCGACCGACATATCCACAGTGAGGGTCACCGTTGGTTCTGTAGGTCAGAGGCCATGATAGCCCTCATTCTTAGCAAATTTCTACTACCGGGCCCTTATCTGGACACTATATCAGGCCACCTTTTGCGCCACTAGTCCTTGGCCTACTCTACAAGCAGTTGGACTTGCTTTCCGAAGATGAGGTCACCAGTGCTAGGTGCTGCGGTATTGAGACGTGGCTATCGACCAATTTACTTCAAGTATTCCTGTGGGAATATTTTAGAGGGTATGCTCATGAACCGCTC